ACGACGCTCGATCGAGGGACGGACCATCGCCCATGGAGATTGGTGCAGTTAATAGTGACGGCTCACGCGGAACGGGATTTAAGGGGAACTGTCACTACTGCAAAAAGTCGGAACACATGAAGCGGGATTGCCCACAGTTCAAGGAGCGGACACCTCAATCAATTTCAAAGACGCTCGCATGGTAGATGGGACGCCACTTCACATAGGACCGATCATTCGCAAGTTGCGCGTGGTGCTAGGACCGATCACTGTTAGGCGTGACTTCGACTCTGCAATGCTGGACGGATACGATTTCATCTTCGGGAGAGATTGGCTACGAACGGTTAGTACTCAGTTCGATTGGGCTCAGGGACGCTGCAGTGTCAGGGTAGACGGGGAGTTCCGGGAGCTGCCACAGTGGAGCGATGGGACCACATCCTCCACAGCTATCATTAATGCTGTTCGTGTGCGACAGTTAGTGAAGCGAGCGGCACGGATCTTCGCGGTTTTCCTTGAGGAGGTGGAAGCAGAAGAGGGGAAAGGAGGGAGTGCAGCAGTTAGTGAGAAGACAACTCTTTTTGCTGAGGTGAGTGCACTGTTAGCGGAGTTCGCAGACGTCTTCCTTGACGAGTTGCCCCCAGGGTTACCTCCCAGCCGAGCAGTAGACCACCGAATAGAGTTGGAGCCGGGAAGCAGGCCAGTAGCAAAGCCGCAGTGGAGGTTGAGTCCAGCAGAGACGGAGGAGATGACGCAGCAGGTTAGGCATTTTCTCGCGCAGGAGTTCATACAGCCATCTAGGTCGCCTTGGGCCGCACCGATCCTGTTCGCGCCTAAGAAAGACGGAGGGTTACGGATGTGCATAGATTACCGCGCACTGAACGCCACCACCGTCAAGAACATATTCCCAGTACCGAGAGTAGAGGATCTCCTAGATGCAGTGCAGGGCGCTAGAGTCTTTTCCAAGATCGACCTTCGTTCGGGTTACCACCAGATTCGCATAGTTCCAGAGGATCGGCACAAGACGGCGTTTCGTACGAAGCAGAGGTTGTACGAGTTTAGAGTCCTGCCGTTCGGTTTGACCAACGCCCCAGCGACGTTTCAGACGCTCATGAACACAGTCCTCTCCGAGTTCCTAGGTTCGTTCGTCGTAGTTTACCTAGACGACATCCTAGTGTTCTCTAAGACGAAGGAGGAGCACGTGCAGCACTTGCAGAAGGTCTTCGAGGTCTTGAGGAGGGAGCAGTTGTACGCGAAGCAGTCGAAATGCGAGTTCTTCCTCCCCGAGGTCGAGTTTCTAGGTCACGTCGTATCTGCTAGTGGCATTAGGACCGACCCGAAGAAGATCGCAGCAGTACAGGATTGGGTAGCACCAACCTCAGTCAAAGAGTTGCAGAGCTTTCTCGGTTTCGCGAATTACTACCGTCGTTTCGTTCAGGGTTACGCTTCCATCGCAAGTCCACTCACCGACCTACTTCGGAAAGGCGTAGAGTATATTTGGGGTCCAGCACAGCAGCAGGCGTTCGAGCAGATGAAGCAGTCGCTCACGTCTTCACCGACACTGTCGTACCCTGATCCCACTCGCCCGTACGTTGTAGTGACCGACGCATCAGATCAGGCCATAGGAGCAGTACTTCTTCAGGACCAGGGATGCGGGTTGCAGCCGATCGCGTACGAGTCGCGTAAGCTTAGGGGAGCGGAGTTGAATTATCCCATACACGACAAGGAGGCGCTCGCGATCATCCATGCGTATAAGGTGTGGAGGTGCTACCTAGAGGGGGCAGATAGTGTTATACGCACGGACCACTGTTCGCTTCGTTTTCTCAAGTCGCAGCCGCAGCTGAGTCGTCGCCAGGCTAGACGGATGGAGTTCATGGAGGGGAGTTTCCACTACAGGATAGAGTACAAGCCAGGCGTGCGCAACCCAGCAGATCCTCTCACTCGCCCTAGTTGCCAGCTCGCTAATCTCACAGTCACTGCCGGCCATCCACTTCTCACATCACTCTTCGAGCACGGTTACACAGTAGATCCCGACATCACACCGCACCCGCCCGCAGGAGCAGAGGTGCAGGGTAGTGTCTACATACGGAAGGGCACAGCACGGATTTGGGTTCCAGCATACCGCCCTCTTCGACAGCTCCTTCTCTCAGAGGCACACGACGTAGTTAGTGCAGGGCACTTCGGAGCAGATAAGACGGTTAAGACACTTAGTCGCACGTACTACTGGCCAGGACTTGCAGCAGACGTAGAGGATTACATTCGTTCGTGTGACACGTGCCAACGCACGAAGTCCTCTCGCCAGCGCAAGGCGGGACTTTTGCAGCCGATTCCACCGCCCGACCGCCCTTGGCAGGTAGTTACCATGGACTTCATCATGGCTTTACCACGCACAGTTAGGGGTCACGACGCCATCTTCGTGATAGTGGACAAGTTTTCTCGAGCAGCGCATTTCATCCCCACGCACGGCCAGGTCACAGCAGAGGAAGCCGCGACGCTGTTCGTAGATAACGTAGTCCGACTGCACGGGGTTCCCGATTCCATCATCTCAGACCGCGACCCTCGTTTCACTTCGAAGTTCTGGAAGCAGCTTTTCGCACTGTTTGGGACTCGCTTAGCTATGTCGTCAGCGTACCATCCAGAGACAGACGGACAGACTGAGCGCGTGAACCAGACATTGGAGCTGATTCTTCGCAGCATCACGATGCACGACGCAGCAGCATGGGACAAGAAGCTGAGCATGGCAGAGTTCGCATACAACAACACGCACCACTCCGCCACAGGCATGTCACCGTTCTTCGCACTGTACGGTCAGCACCCCAATGTCCCCACTCGTGTCGATCTCTCACCCACAGTCCCACGTGCTGATAACTTCCACCAGCACCTCACTTTCATTCACGACCACGTGAGGAAGCACCTTGAGCTTGCAAATGCACACATGGCACGCACCACCAACCGCAGTCGTCGTGAGATGTCGTTCGCAGTTGGCGACCGTGTTCTTTTGGACAGCCGCAACCTGCCACAGGACGGCAAGCTTCACCCACGTTTCATTGGTCCATTTGTCATTGAGCGCGCACTTGGTCCAGTCGCATACCGCCTTCGCCTTCCCGCTCATTTCCGCATGCACCCGTCATTCCACTTGTCTCTCCTCCGTCCATACACTGATCCCAACGCCACCCTCTCGGGCCGTGATCGCACTCCACTGCCGGTAGATGTTGACACCGACGAGCCCGACTACCAGATCCAGCGCATCCTCAGGCACCGTCGCCGTCTCCAGGGGGGTGTTTCTTTCATCGACTTCTTGGTTCGTTGGCGTGGTTACGATGCAGCCGACGACAGCTAGGTCCCTTCGTCCTCGCTGTCTCCTGACAACGCTTGCCTCAAAGCGTACCTTCAGTCTGCAGGCGCCGCGGACGTCGCCTCCTTGGGAGGGAGGTAGTGTTACGGGGTACTTTCCTGTTCAAGGGTAGTTTACCCTAAATAGACCCCCAACCTTATCCCAACCCTATTTTCATCCAATCCCTTTGGGATTTCCTTGGATTTCCTAGATTTCCCAACCGCCACGTGGCACTCTAGTCTTCTTGCTTTACAATTCCCTGTCCCACGAACTACTTTCCAACAATCGCTCTTGCATGCTACTTAAACCTTGCTTGTACTTGCCATTATCAACCAATTCTCATTCAACTCTTCGCCAATTACTTAGTACACCGAAACTGCGATAATTCCACACCCCGTACGCTTCCCTGGCCAGACGCCCAATTTGGTTGTTGACTAGACTAGACGAACACCCTAATGTTACAGGCCTATAAAAAAGTACGGTAATCAGATAGCCAGACTCGCAAACTTACACTTTACAGTAGGATTGAGTGCGAAATCACCTATATCATGTTTCTACTTCCGGAATGCTCGCTTCGAAATTGCGTCATTGTAACCCCGATAACTCGGATATTAATGTTAACCACCCTCGAAATAAAATTAGACGAGGGAGGTTACCCAGGGTCGTGAAGATAGCAGGTGTGGAATTATCGCAGTTTCGGTGTAACTTCTTCGCCTATTTCGCCAGTAGTCTTTTCGCCAAAGTCTTCCGCAGCGTTTTCGTCCTCGACTTAGTCGACTCCGCTATTCTTTAGCGGACTTAGGCCGTGGGGCCTAACAGTTCAACTAAAAGCACTTGTTTTGCAATACACTACAAAAGCTCACGCCCTCGTCCCCCCACATCCCCCCCTCTTCCCCCCCCTCCTCACTTCACTATTCCCCTCCACACCATCCACAACATGCCCCGCGGCCCGCCTGCTCCAGCCAATGCGATCAGCTTTCCTCCACTTCACTCCAAGTCCTTCCATGTTTGTCCCCGTCATTCAAATCCTACCTCAACCGCCCCCACTGTTTCCAAGTCCTAGCTGGTCTTTCCCCTCCCATCGCGCACAAACCAACCAGCACTAGGCTCACTTCCGTCGCCCTGCTCGCCCACACATGGCGGTCACGTCTGCCGCGCGTCGCGGCCGTGAACACGCGCCCACGGTAGCATTCGCAACAGCCGCTACTAAAGCGCACGGTAGTCACCTACCTGGATTGCGCCTTGCCTTCCCCTTGCACCCCTTCCGCCAATCTCCTTCCACCACCAAACCGTTCTCTGCAGGACCAACCTACGCGGTGCACGTCGCACCTAGTAATCTCTCCCGCTCCTCCACTCTCCTACTCCGATCTACCGTTGATCTCGCCCACCATTTACCGCGTACTAAACAGCGCGCCACTAGCACGCGCTTCAGAATCGCGTCTATTAGTCCAAGTCGCCATCGTACTGGTATCTGTACTCGCCCTTGGCCTCAGCCTCAGCTTATTAACCTTTCCATGCGTTGCATCGGCGCCGCTGCCAACGGCAGTGTTCATAAAAGAGTCAGTAGTACTCGTGTCGTCTCTTCCTGCAGTAACGCCGGTAATAACGAAGTCTCTGTAGTGCTAGTAACGAGGATATCAGCGCCTCGCATTCCCGAATTCTACTACTCTCAGCCGCGCCATCACACGCCATGACGGCGCCTCTCTCCCGCTCACCCCCGTACTCCCTCCCCCTCCGCTCGCGCCTTACCCTCATCGCCCTCCTCGCGCTCCTAGCCCTCCTCGTCGCCCTCCTCCGCGCCGCAGACGCCCTCACCAAACCGCCGGACACCAAGGCGTGCGTCGCGAAGGTGGCGGAGGTCGACCGGGAAGCCATGCGCGCGGTGTACGCGGCTTTGCCCGAGAATCTGTTCTTCTGGCCAGACGATCTCGGCTTCAGCAACTGGCCGATTCGGATGTTAGACGATAACGACAACGTCACCTACTGCTGCGTCACGCCTAGGCCCGACGCGGCGTCGTGCTACCTCTCGTGCCCCATCAAGTGCACGCCCGCAGGCCGCATCACCAGCATCGTCTCGTCACCCAGCCGCGAGGACATGCCCGGGCCCGCGGGGACTCAGGGGGGGAGCTGTCCGCCCGGCGCGCTGTCGCCCGCCATTGGCGACCTCGCGGAGCTCTCCTCGCTGGTGTTGCGCCACTCGTGCCTCGCCGGCGGCCTGCCGGATTCCGTCACGCGCCTCCAGAAGCTGACGGAACTCGACATGTCTGATAACAGCTTCTCCGGCCCCGTTCCGCCCGGGCTCTTCCGCCTGCCCCGTCTCAGCCTCGTAGATCTCAGCACCACCATTGGCGGCGGCCTTTCAGGGTCCCTTCCCGACGGGCCCGGCGCGTACTCCCCGTCGCTGGAAACGGTCCGCCTTTCCGGGAACCTCTTGTCGGGGGAGCTTCCGCGCGCGCTTTTCCGGTCGCGCTGGCTGCAGGAGGTGCGCCTGGAGAGCAACAACTTCACGGGGGAGCTCCCGGGGGAGGCGGGGGCGTACGCGCGCAACATCTTCGCGCTCTCCCTGCGCAGCAACGGGCTGACCGGCGGCATTCCGCCGGTGCTGGCGGAGATGACTGCGCTGAGGGAGCTCGACCTGGGGGACAACGGCCTGTCGGGGTCCATCCCAACGGCCATCGCCACTCTCTCGCCGCTCACGCGCCTCGCGCTCGATCAGAACCGTTTGACCGGAGACATCGTCGCTGCGCTCGTTCCTGAAGCTGCCGCTGCGACTGGTGCACCTGATCAAGCTCCTGGCGCTCCGGACGCCGTTGGCGCTGCTGCGGCGTCTGCTGCTGGTCTCCGCGCGGCGTTCCAGATGCTCGAAGTTCTCGACGTCAGCAGCAACCAGCTCTCCGGCGACGCGGCCGCGCTCGCGCCGCTCCCGCGCGGCCTGGGCAACCTGAACGCGTCGCGCAACAACCTTACGTGCAGCGCCGGGAGCGACCTCTTTGCGGGCGCGCCCTCCACGGACCTCTCGCACAACCGCATCAGCGGCGCGTTGGCGAATGTCGTGCGCGTGTCCGGCCTGCAACGGTTGCGCGTGGCGCACAACGAGCTGTCGGGGAGCATCCCCGCGGACCTGCTTTCCGCCGTGGGCGACGAGCTCGACCTCTCGCATAACCTGCTCTCCGGCACCATTCCGCACCTCTGCGGCCCCAGGACGCGCATCGACCTCTCGTACAACAACCTCACGGGCGAGCTCCCGCGCGACGCGGCCGCGTACAAGTCCAGCCTCGAGTCGCTCTCGCTGCGCGCCAACGGGCTGACCGGCGCGATTCCGCCCGCGCTGGCGGGGACGATGCGCGGGCTGACGTACCTCGACCTGGGGGAGAACCGCCTGTCGGGCGCACCCACGACGCTCGCGCCGCTGCGCGGTCTGGACGTCGTGCGCCTCGACGGCAACGCGCTGAGCGGGCCGTTCTGCGACGCACTGCTGCCGGCGCGCGAGCTCTGGCTTGGCTTCAACGCCTTTGGCGGCAGCGGCGGCGGCGGCGGCGGCAGCGGCGGAGAGGGGGAAGGGGGGCAGGGGGAGGGCGATCTGCACGGGTGCGTGGTGCCCGCGCGGCTAGAGGTGCTGAGCGCGCCGCACGCGGGGCTGAGAGGGAGCGTTCCCGACGACCTGTTTCTACGAATGGACGAGCAGATGGGGCGCATTGCCTTGGGCTCGCAAACACAGAGGCTGCACGTGAACCTCAGCCGCAACAGCCTCACGGGCACCCTGAAAGCCTTCTCCGTGATCCGCAACGGGAGCCTGGATGTGTCGCACAACAATTTCACGGGCAGCATTCCGGAGGCGTTGTTCCGCCTGGCGAGCGGGGGAGAGCTGGAGCGCGGGGCGAGCGGGGCGAGCGGGAGCGTGGAGGAGAGCAGGTGGGGGCTGGAGCGAGAGCGAGTGGTGGTGGACGTGCAGAGCAACGAGCTGTCAGGGCCGCTGTTTGACGCGCGCAGGCCCGCCGGCGAGTGGCCGTCCTACTGGAACAAGCTGCGAGTGAGCGGCAACAGCGCTGCCATGAAGGGCGCCGTGGGCGCGGGTACCTCCCCGCGCCGTCGCCTGGCGTGCAGGCGTCCGCTGCGGAGACTGAGGCTCTGCTGGCCGTGCGCGATGCACTCCTGAGGGGAGCAGCGGGGAGAGCAGCGGGGGGAGCAGGTGGGGCAGCAGAGGCGGTAGCACTGGTGAACGGTGGAAACAGCTCGTGGGCGGCGATACTGAGCAGCTGGGATGCGAGCAGCAGCAGCAGCAGCGGTAGTGCGTGTGAGTGGTACGGCGTGGGGTGCACAGCAGACGGGCACGTGCACACGCTGCACCTGCTGGGCGATGCTACAGTCGCACTGCACCCCAACGTTCTCCCCGACATGCCCGACTGCGAGAAAGGCCTGTATGGGGAGTTCTCATGCACCTTTGAGCCCCTGCCACCTCCCCGCACTACGAGCTTCTTCCTGCAGGGCCTGCGTGGGGGAAGTGGGAGCGGGAGTGAGAGCGCGAGCGCAAGCGGGAGTCTGTCGGAGGCGTTGGGGCAGCTGACGCACCTCACCTCTCTGCGCATCTCCGGGCACGTCCTCTCCGGCGGCCTGCCACTGTCCCTCTCGCGCCTCTCCCACCTCGTCGCTCTCGACCTCTCCTCCAACCGCCACCTCTCCGGCTCCATCCCCCCCGCCCTCTTCGCTCTCCCCTCGCTGCGAGAGCTCACCCTCCGCGGTAACAACCTCACGGGAGCGCCACTCCCAACCACCACCGCAGCACCAGCAGCAACGCTGCCAGTGCCGGGTTTGGAGAGTCTAGACGTGGGGGGGAACGCTCTGTCGGGGTCCATTCCAGCGCAGGTGAGTCTTCTCACGGGGCTGACGCGCCTGGCGCTGGACCACAACCAGCTGGACGGCAGCTTGCCACGGGAGCTTGGCGCACTCTGGATGCTCCGAGACCTGCACCTGCAGGGGAACGCCTTTCGGGGCGGCCTCGATGACATCACCACTGCCATCGACCCACCTGCCAACGCCTCGTTCGGCATAGATCGCTATCGGAGCCTCATCAAATTGTTCCCTCTGCTCGCCGTCCTCGACGTCAGCAGCAACCAGCTCTCAGGCGACGTGGCTGTGTTTTTCATCCACAGGGAAGACGCCGCTTCTTACATGCTCCCCCTCCTTACTTCCCGCTGTTGCGCTACCTGAACGCGTCGCACAACAACCTCACGTGCGAGTCGCGGCAGAACTTCCAGCAGATTGCATCCGTGGTGGACCTCTCCCACAACCAGATCAGCGGCGAGCTGGTCAACATCGTTGAGGTGGCGTGGACGGAGCATGCGTTGATGGATGTGCTGCGCCTCTCGCACAACCAGCTGTCGGGGGATGTGCCCTCCTATCTGCTGGGAGCATTGGGTGGAGAGCTGGACCTTTCCCACAACCTGCTCACCGACACGCTGCCGGCGCTGAATCCCGCAATGACCGTCGTCAACCTCTCCCATAACCAGCTCTCTGGATCCCTCCTGCCTGTGGCTGCCTGCTCTCGCTGCACTCACGTGGACCTCTCTTACAACCTCCTCTCCGGTGCCATTCCCCCCCTCCTCGCCTCCTCGTCCTCCCCACTCGGCCACCTCAACCTCCGCAGCAACCTGCTCTCGGGCTCGCTGCCCCGCTCCCTCGCTCAAGCCCCCATGCTCACCCACCTGGACCTCTCACGCAACAAGCTCAAGGGCTCCCTGCCTGCCTTCTGCCAGGGCAAGCAGCGCCTCGCCTCTCTCCTCCTCTCCTCCAACGCTTTCTCCGGCCCCCTCTCGTCCCTCCTCCCCTCCTCCTCCTCCTGCGCCTCCTCCCTCCTCTCCCTCAATGTCTTTAGCAACCAGCTCTCTGGCTCGCTCCCCTCTTCCCTCTCGCGCTTCACCGCTCTGCACTCCTTGCAAACGGCGCGCAACCGCATGAGCGGCAGCATCCCCGCAGGGCTGACATTGCTGACGGCCCTGCAAGAGCTGGACGCATCGTGGAGCGGGCTGTCAGGCACCATCCCTGCGCTACTGCGTGCTGCTGCCCCCTCCTTGCAAGTGCAACTCGCTGGCAACGCCCTCTCTGGCTCTGTCCCATCCTCCCTCTCTGACTTGCCAGTGTCCTGCTTCCGCCCCGGCAACCCCAAGCTCTGTGGGAAACCTCTGCTTGACTGCAAGAAGAGCTCTACGAAGCCCAGGAAGGGCAGGGTGTAGGAATTGATGGGGGACAAAGAGAAGGTGCCCCGAATTCTGACCCAGTATGGTTCCTGTTGTACTCGTGCCTGTAAAATAATCAATTTTGTAGCGGTAGTTGTCGAACATAAACCTGAGTTGAATATTTTTATTTCCCCTCATTAGTGTGCTACTGGAACAATACTGACAACCTATCTTCAAGTTGCCTTCTGTTACCAGCCAGCCGTCTTATAAGCACCGCAGCTACGGTTGGTACGAAATGCTTCATTATATCTGGCTCAAAACTATTCCATGTTCACTTTATCCGCAAGCCCTACATTGCTCTTGCAATTTGGCAGATTAGGAAACTGATATTATAAAAACCTGGACCGAGCACGGCTTGCCTGCAGTGCAGCTTAGAAATTGGAAAAGAATGGTGCTTTACTTGGCTGCGATACAAGCTGCTCCATTTTAGCATCATAAACTGATGTGGAAGACCTTACACTACCGGGACTTCTCAAACCGTCACCGCCTCATTGTCTCTCCATCTGAAACCAATTAGCAACAGATAGGGAGTAGCAAGGAAAGGATGGGGATGACGTGCAGAAGACAAAAGAGAGAGCGAGAGATTAAGTGAGTTAGCGAGTGCTTGTGTGTGTGTGTGTGTGAGAGAGAGAGAGAGAGAGAGAGAGAGAGAGAGAGAGAGAGAGAGAGAGAGAGAGAGAGGGGGGGGGGGGGAGGGGGGGGGGGGAGGGGAAGGATGCAAGGTGAATGTGCAAAAGAAGATGCATTGAATGAAAAAAACGTGATCGATGACGGCTAGACAATGGATGCAATAAGGCCGTCGGTATGACGCTCGACCAGGCATGAATGAATTCGGTACACATCGCAACAGGCAGCAACAAATGCCTGCTAATGGACTGACACAACAGAGGGTTCCGAACAGGAAACTTATGCACAAACGCGATAACCTTGCTCGACACCAGCATCACACCAATGTCAGTTTCTAAGGAGTAGGATGAGCCGTCAGATGCTGAGATGTTCACCGCCGTGCTCTGCTACACCTCGTGCCTGAAACACCCTACTCTCACTAGCCAAGCAATAGTCCGCACTTCTCAGCTCTCAACAAATGTAGTACAAGTTACTCGCTCACCCACTTCGGCACACAACCAGTACAGGTCTAAAACCCTGCGCAGAAGCCAACCGCTAAACACGACGCTCTCGCGTAAAAATATTCGAGCTAACACCTTTCGTGCGGCAGTGAAGAACCTTGTCAAGATGCTCCTCTAATCCTCCTCTCCTCCTACCTCACGTTTACGCCTGAGCGGCAGCCTCCGACTGAAGAGGCGGAAGGTCCGGCGACGGTAGACCAGCGAGGCGAGGCGTCCGGATGTCCACGATAATGAACTTCTTCGTCTTGGAAACCGGCGCGCACTTGGCAAGAGTCACGAAGTCACCCACGCGGCACTGGTTCTCAGGGTCGTGCGCCTGGTACCGCTTCACAGAGGCGATCCGCTTCTTGTACAGCTTATGCGGATAAATGCGCTTCACCTCGACCGCGGCCGTCTTGTCGTTAGCGGTCGACACGACGGTCCCTTGGATTTTACGCACGGCCACGACGCGGACGACGGGGCTGGCGCTAACGGCTGCGGGAGTGGAGCCGGCAACAGCTGACGACTGCTGAATGCGCTCCCCCGAAAGGAAGGAGGAGGCAGGCGCGAGCCTGACGGAGGACGCGAAGGAGGACGCGAGAGAGGCCGCCATGATGGGACGACGGGAGCGGAGGGGATGAGAGTGCGAAGTAGGGTTCGAGGGTGAAACGAGGTTTGGGGATGCGAGCCTTGCGCTGGCAGGGAGAGAAAGGAAAGCCAAGGGGCAGATGGATGGGGGAAAGGTGAGAAGAGGGCGGGGGGTGTTAGGGGGGTGGACAGGCCCGCGGAACAGCACAGGTGGGTGAGCTGGGGGAAGACGACAGTGGGGGGTTGAAGTGGGGGAGAGGACAGGTTTGCGCAGGCTGTTTGTGGGGGGATAGCGGTGAGTGAGGTTCGGTGTTGGAGGGCTGGGAGGGAAAACAATACCAGTTTGTCAGAGATGGGGAAGTGTTTGGCCGCTCCCTGACTGGAATTATCGTGACGATTTCAATTTTTGGTTCACGAGCTGCCCCTTCAATCTACCGTATGAGGTCGTTTTGCAGTACCCATTTCGTCACTGAAGACGTACTCTGGGCAACTCTGGTTGCTTTCCTGGCACGTACTCGAGGTGAGCTTCTGACACGTACCCGGAGCCGAGTTCACTTCTTCCTGTGACACACGCCCACACCCCTGCCCTTTTGCAAACCAAACCAGTTACCAAACTACCTCAGGTGGCAACGCCTGTGTCAACGTGGCTCGATTCAACGCTGGCTGCTCACTCCTGCGACGTGGCGAGGGAATGGATAAGAGGGTGCGAGGAAATATTGATCAACTATCGCAATTGCTCCCAATGCAACTTGTTACAAGAAGCAGGGCAATACAGGAATATATAGCTCTAAAAGGTTGTCAAGATTCATTGGTTCTTATGTTGACAGAAAAACAACACTTTTCCTTTCTCCATCCATCCCACATCGTGAGAATCAGTATTCCCTTGATAAATTTTGAAAAAACCCACCCGTTACCGTTTGTACAATCTCAACCCTAACCACACTCATTGGCAGCTCTCAAACCTCAATTGAATGCCTAATTTGTATATTCAATGTTCACTCATTACTTCCCTCACATTCCCCTCTTTTGAGTTATGCAACCCTAGCTTCATTGTATCCTAGTTCTATTGCAAGCCTCCCAAACTGCCAAAAGCACACATGGTCATATATTAAAGGGGGAATTTCAATCTCCGGCTAAAAAGTACAGCAATCAGGTTCAGGCGCCTACTATGCTTGATGCGTTCACCATAAGAATGAGAATTACCTCCACAACTAGTGTCTCTGTTAGCTTCTTGGGCTGTTAGTAGACCCGTACGGTAATTATGGAGATTGACACAACTTCATTTAGCATTCTCTGGCAAACTTCAGAAGGCTTGACGTTGGCCCATTAATAAGTAATGCTAACGAGAACTCCACGTAGAAGGCCGTGAGAAGGATCAATAACGTCGTCAAATAGACCCGCACCATGCATGTAAATAATGTCGAAGTGTAATAATCTTCGTTTCATGGAAGAGAAAGAGCCGATTCCAGTAACTTGGTCGTTTGTTGTCCACTCAGAACATATTAAAACAACGAAAGCTCGTCGAGTACGGACCCACGAAGCCATCTCCATGAAATTCTTCTATTCTTCTGCTTCATCTACCTTCGGAAGAGGGTAAAATACAGTGCTCGACGGCAGAGAGCCCACCTGCGGATGTTCTTCAGTGTGAGCAATGACATGCGAGCGAAGTAGAAATCAACATCAGAATTCGACATTTAAAACCTGTGGAATTGCTTGAATTGGCCGGTCAAACTTCTTCATTGTCTCCATGCCAGTACGTTGCTGCTTGAGGGTCGAGGAAACCTCATGGTCGATGGAAGGGTTGAGAAGTGAGAATTTTCTTCTTCTTGAACCTGCAATGCTGCATGAGCTACTTGCTTCCCCTGAATGCGTTTCGGAGCTCCATGACGAAGATATGTTGCACAAAAGACTTGCTGTTGGTGTCTCCAGGCTGGCAACAGAGCCTGTTGAAGCGATGCTGCTCTCAGATTGGCAGCATTTGCACCTAATTTCCGTGGTCCTGCTGTTTCTTCGGCTTCCGTCTTCTCGTTTCTTCGTCATCTTTGCAGCAGTCTGAGAGAAACAGCACTTTGAGTGGCGAATGCCAGGACTGATCGATTTTATGGCAATTCCAAGCCGCTCATGGCTTCAAGCATTTGTTGCAACAATGTCCAGCGACACCAACTTCGGTACACGAAGTACACTTAAAACTGATGTATCAAGAAAGTGATATATTGGAAAATACTTTAATATTTCCCAACCTGCTTTCTCCAGTGTACAATATACTGCAATTTAACCTCCTAAACAAAAGAACGAAACTTTTTGGGAAAAGGGGCGTTAATTTTCAGAGAACAATAACCAGGAATGTGCGATACCAGTCAAAGCCTCGAAAAAATATATTATTAGATGCGTTACGCCTACGAAGACTATCCTTCATGATTACAACTGTTGCCTCTTGTTCAGCCGAGCATCCCACTCGCTCTCCTCCAACTCCTGTTCTGCCACATCTTTTTGTGTGGAATATATCACTCGCTCCTCTCCCAAAACAGTTTGTTCTGCCTTCAGCCGTGCACTAGCCAGCTGTAAAGTAGGAAGCGGGTGATTCAAACGTCAAGTAGAAAGAATGAAGTAAGTTGAAATGTCGGAAATGTAACCAGAGAACACCCAAAAGGAAACCTCGTATGTGTAAGATCAATCAAGCTGGATCCAAGCATTGGTTAGCGCAAACGGCCAGAACAAGCAACCATGGCTTCCCATTTCACGTACGCGAATACCCAAAAAAACTTCGGGACAGGTCCAAAGGAGACTCAGGTGGTAGGGGTGGCGGCTTTGGAATGGAACTAACCTTCTTCCGGAGGTGGGGCGAGGGATGGGAGAGAATGTGAGCGCTCTCCCTTCTCCTTTGGTTGCGAGTCTCAATAGCTGAGTTGGTGGAGCTGAGGAACGCCCAGCGGCACAAGGGAATGACAAAGAACGCCACCGAATAGGCCTGGACAATGCGAGATGAGGGCGGGACGGGGGGCACAAGATTTGGGTGCGGGGGGAGAAAGAGGTGGGAAGGAGGGGTTGGGTGGGAAAGGAAGCACACAGTGGGGGATGAAAGAGAAGAGAGTAGACCAGGTTGACCGAGTTAATTGGAGGGCAAGGCAATATAGAGGGAAATATCTAAATCAATGCCCTTGAGGGTTGAGGCAGTACAGAAGACTATTGCAATAATCACCTGGAGTGCAGGCATGAGGCGCTGTATGGTGGAAACTAGAGGAAGCCCTGCCTTCCGAATAACGGCTGGGTTCCTGGAAGAGTGGTTTGCGTTAGGAACGATAACAGGAGTGGAATGAAATTGAGATTGGGAATGGCAGAAGGGAGGGTCAGTTGATACACAAGGCAAAGCAGGGGAAAAAAAGTACAGGGATGGAGGGAAGAGGAAATTAATCGTATGAACAGGGGAAGCTCCAACCTTAACGTCTCCTGTTGCCCAACCAGATCTCAGCCCATGCACATGCCGTAACAACATACAGGCACCGACCGCGCCAGAACAGCTTTATTCATTTAAGTGGAGATGCGCACCTGAGCAATCAGCCGAGGACCTGAGCATTCAGCTGAGCAAAGAAAGGTACACCTGAGCAATCACCTGAGCATGGAGGAGAGTATTAACACGCCAACCACATTGATAATTCCCAGCCCCACTGCCAAAGCTCGCTTGGTGGGGGGGGCGTCACTGGGGCCGAGGGAAAGGGGGGAAGGTGCAGAGCACGCACACATGCATGAATGAGTTACTGGAGGCCCCAAATGCATCATAGAGTATTAGCTTTGGAGAGCCTCAGAAATCTTAGATTCAGGCGTGGTTTGATGTGTGGAATAATACGAGGAAAGTTATTCCTTGAGAGTATCACACATACTGCGGGAATGTTGCTTGTAGTACAGGCAACTGAAGAGCCAACAAAGGCCACTTAAAGAGCTTAAAACTTCACCTGAAGGACCAAGAGAACCCACCTGAAGGGACAGCAAAGCTCACCTGAAGGACCAGGTGTTTTCAACGAAGATAGGAGCTGGTGCACGAGAGTTGGAGTAAAAGGAGGAGGGGGTGCGCGTAGCATGCTGCTCTGCGGTGCGCTGGAGCAGAGGGAATGCATAGAATATGTGTCCCTGGTGGGAGGGGAGATACAGACAGGGCAGCCAGTCGAGAAGAGGAGGATAGGGAGGTTTGGGGAAGGAGAAGGAGGGTTGGAAGTGAAATAAGACGTATACTGGGTGAAATTTGGAACAGAGGGGCTTGAAACAGAGTGAAATTTGAGATTTCAGGGCAAAAGCCCACATTGTAGCAGACGCTGAGATTGCCATGTGCACAGCAAGGCCTTGGGAGAAGTCAGTAGCAGTTTTAAGAAAGGTGAAAGTGGTTGAAGGCAGTTGAAAGCGGTTGAAGCCAGTTGAAAGCAGTTGAACGAAGGCAGATGGAGAGGAGGGAGTGGCAGAGCAGCAAGGCCCACCTGGTCGTCCACAGAGGGCGTGCCTTGGAATCGCTGTAGCACCGGCAGCATGTAGGCCTCGTTAGACTGTGGCAGGGGTGTGTGTAGTGTAGGCAGCACGGTGAGGCGAGCAAGGGTTGAAAGGAGAAGTGCGCATGGTCAATGGGATCGAGATTGGGAGGAAGGAGGATGGGGGGGAGGGCACGAAGGAACATGAAGGACGAACACAGGAACGGAGAGAGGGAAGGAAGAAAGGCAACGCAGGAGGTGTCAGGCGCATTGCGCCCACTGAAACGAGTGAAATAATTCCCACACACGTGGCACGGCACGGCACGCAGCCGCCGCCGGCATGCAGAATGCCCATCCCATGCACTGATATCCCCTTGGAAGGATAGGTCTACTTATTTGCGGTGAGAGCTTTTGCTTTGCGGTTTTCACACAGCCCAGGTTGGGCCATCCATGAGCATGAGAGCATGAGCATTACCAGGTCCTTTAGTAGAAGTCTATTTTAAGGAGCCCCAAAATTTGACTCGAGCCATCCATGAGCATGCACATGAGTATGCGCATGAGCATGAGCATAAGCATACCAGGTCCTCTGGTAGGTCAAGGTACGGTGCGATCTCCTGTGCTGCCACCACCCCGCCCCTGCTGCTGATAACCTCTCCTATCTGCCCTCCACACCCGCCCACATGTGCCAGCCGGGTGACAGGAAGGGCAGACACGAAGGGACAAGCAGGGTGGTTGACAGACGGGGGCACGGACAGGGGGGTGGGAGACAGGGAGGGCGGAGACAGTGGGGAGGTGTTGGGGAGGGGCGGACAAGATAGATAAATACGAGGCACAGACAGCTTGAGGAGGCAGAAGGGCAGCAGGCAGAAGTGACAGGCAGGCAGTATGTATGTAGTTGATTCATGGTTTATGGGGTGCAGCATGGCATGGAACAGGAGATGTGTACCATGCAGGAGGTGAACATGTATTGCACAAGTCATCATGCCACACGAGGCATGGGGGTGATGGGCGAGACGAGAACAAAACTCCTGCAGTCTAAGCTATGCAAGGACGGGGTGGTGGTGCCGCTGAAGGAGATCAGGACGGGGCTAGTTAGCTCGGCAGGCACTGTGAAAGAGCAGAGGAGGTGGATTGGGGACGGAAGGGTGATTGAGTGGAAAGGGGTCATCAAGCAGAGGGACTCGCTCGCCACCCCCGCCCGGGCACGTGAAATTCTGCTAAGGTTGCACTGTAGAAATCTGCAAGTGGGGGAGCGTCTCTTTTTTCTCAAGGAAAAAGTGGTCTGCCCACACTGTAGAGCGGATGAGACACCGGAACATTGTCTGTTTGGCTGCCCGGCGATCCAGAGGGTGGTCCGGTTCTTGCGGAAGGGATTGGCGGAGATGAACCCGCTGCTAAACTGGCAGGGTTTGGGGGACCTGCTCTTCATGCAGAGGAGCACGAAGTCTGGCTTTCCGGAAAGCTCGTTTATTGCCACCACGCTTCACCAAGTGTGGTTGGCAAGGTGTGAGGCAAGTCGTCAGGGCGTCAGAATCCAGCCGAAAAGAGTGATACGTATGGCAGTGGTAAAGTTTGTCGCGCATGCCAGAGTGTACTGCCTGGCGAGACAAGTGGAGGCACGGAAACACGGCGTGGCTGTTTGCAATGACGAATGGGGGCATCTGGCAGCTGATGAGGCAACGGTGATGAGGCGGATCTGCAGTAAAGGGGCACCGCTGACGTGGCGGGGCAGCTTCAGCTCCATTTGGGACAACCCGAAGATGACTCATCAACCACCGTAGGCTGATATAGGGAATCTGCGGTACACGATACTGCAGCTCTTCCCTCCCGATACAGTTACGACTGCCTGATGCGTTTTGTACATTATCCTTTAGTGTACTTCTCCGTATCAAAAAAAAAAAAAAAACAAGAGGCGACGAAATCGTCTTAGGGTTGCGAAGCAACGATGCTTTTAAATAAGAATTCTATAATGATATGGAAAGAGAAACAGATATAACCAGTGATTGAACTTGTAACTGAGATTGTAGTTGTAATGTAACTATTCGAACTGTAGAAGTAAAATGTAGAACACACTTAGCGGGTGAGTCAGGTAAAAGTTCCCTTACAGGATTTGAACTTGCATCTTCTGATTGATAGGTCCGTTTTCTACCGTCTACGCCAATGCCTCTATATCTGATAAGCATCGTACAGTTTTTGTCAGATTTCTTTGCGACGAAATTGTAGTTGGGTTTTCGTTGTCCCGTTCTCTCTTGCTCTCGTTTCTCTCTCACTGCTGTCCTGCTTCTTTCACAACTACTGTGGCTCCCGCTACCCACCTTAGTCCACCTCGCAGGTATGTCTTCTAAGTCTTTGTAGTAGTAGTTCTAGATCTAGTTTCTTTTCTCTTCGTTTCTCTCCTTTTACCTTTCGTTATCCTTTCTCTCTTGCTCTCGTTTCTCTCTCACTGCTGTCCTGCTTCATTCACAACTACCGTGGCTCCCGCTACCCACCCTAGTCCACCTCGCAGGTATGTCTTCTAAGTCTTTGTAGTAGTAGTTCTAGATCTAGTTTCTTTTCTCTTCGTTTCCCTCCTTTTACCTTTCGTTTTCAACATTCTTGAGTTAATTAACTCACCATTAACTATCTGAAATCTTGTGTGTTATGTCGCTGCATATCATCGAGCTAGCTTGGTAGGTTGAATTATCTTGTGCACGCCATTTTCGACCAAGCTTAGTAGGCCGAATTAGAAATTCAATGCGAATTCGACCTTGATAATTAGGTTGAAGTAAGGCCTGCAGGCCATGTCAACCATCAAGGTCTGCGGGTTATTTTGACCTAGCTTGTTTCAATCCGTCATCTCTTTTTTGGTAATTATAGGTCCAGTTTTCCATTCATCTAAACTCTATGCTTGTAAGTTTTTTTTTCTTAACTTCCTCGTACCTCTGACTACGTTTGTTTCTTGGTTCTCTCTTATTATTCCGTCTTTCTTTCTTCCCCGTTTCCTCTTCCGTTCCTTCCTTCTGCTTCCTATCTGATCAGCTATACGATTTTCACTTTGTTGTGGGATCAGATTACAACGTTCTTGTTTTTTCTTTTTCCTAGTTCTTTTTTCGTTTATTAGTTTTCTGTTTTATTCTCATCAAATATTGTTCTCATACTTTCTCAATTATCCAATTTCTGTGCAGTGTTTATCCATTTCGTTCCATTAGTGCCTTCCAATTCCTCGTTTTATGTCATGAAAGGTTCTTTCGAAACATCCTTTTGTATGCATGTCGTTCCTTTGCTTTCCGTTCCGTCGGTCCATTTCATTCCATTTCAATTTTCGTCATTCCACGTTCGTCCGATTTCAGAGTCTGTATACATACATCGTTAGTTTTGTTTCTTTATTTACCGTCTTCCCTCTGTTCTTCCTTCTCCTGTCAATTCGCTTTTGATCCCTACTATTTTTTTTACCGCAGAACCCTTGCTCTTCCTTCCAGGAAGTTGATTTCAATTTGGAAGATTTGTAGCGATTACGCTTAGGATTTTATACTTGTCTTGGTACTTATTTTTTCTGCTTTTATTAGTTATCGTGTGTGTTTTCCCGGGTATGTTTGTCGTTATGCAAGCTTTTGAGTATGTGAGTATGTTTATTGGAGTGTGTACGTACATGTGTGTATGTGTCTGTGTGTGTGTGTGTGTGTGTGTATGTGTTATGTGTGTATTTATTCATTTTCATTAATCCATATCATCATTGCAATATCAATGCATGTCTGTGGGTTTTAAAAAGGTGAATCAGGTCTATCATTTCATTAGAAGGTTCATTGGCGCGCCTGTCGGGAGCCCACTTGAACTGGAGATGATAGAGTTGACCATCTTTTTAGAGTTCACAGATTGTATTGTTTCATGTGACTGCTGATTGTTCAAAGATTATGCTATTAGCTCCCCCCCATGCTAGGCTGGGGATGCGGTAGCATAGCTTTTGGGTCATTAGCTTTCACGCATTTAAATCATTATAAATATGCATCATGGATTGTCTATACTAATCATTATTTATTGCAAACACAAGGCATATAATTCACATTTATCATATCTTACATAATACATTATATTTCATATAATATCATTATATTCATCTCCATTCACCAATCATTATATTCATCTCTTCACCATATGCGCATATTATCTGATGGTAAATCACAGCATACTATCACAAGAACAACCTAGTTATTGACAGAAAATAACTACCATTATAATATAATTGAACTAGTCGGGATTTCTTATATTAAATAGGTAGCAGGTAGTGCTTTCAGTTTTTTTTTCACATTTTTATTTTAAATAAATATAAAATGTGGAAAAAAAAACCTGGCCAAATCGATCGTAAAGGGTTGCTTCGCAATAAAAAAAAAAAACGAGGCATGGGGGACGGGACATGGAGCGTTGCGCATGCGGCATGGGGAATTTCGCATGGAGCATGCATGGCACATGGGGCAATTGGAAAGGGCATTGGGGAAGTGGAAGAGCAAGGCACGCACCAGTCTCCATCTGTGCTGCTCCCGGCCATCATTGGGGTCTCCATCACCGAACACAAAGGAGAACACCTGCCCGCACAGCAGAGAGAGGCGAGATGAGAGCAATAGAGAGGCGAACATGCAGAGCATGATGGGGTTCAGTGAGACGGTGGGGGTCAATCAGAGCAACAGCCAAGTGCGTTTGGGGGGGTGAAAGCGGGGGAAGAGGGGAGAAAATCAGAGATTGAGGGGTTTCATGAATTCGTACTTTACGATGGGAGGTGTGAAAGATGAAGTAAGGCAGTAATTGAGAGAGTGAGAGTGAGGGAATGAGTGAGGGAGTGAGTGAATCTGAGCGGCAACAACAAAGAGAGTGTATGTGCGTGCAGTGCATGACCACTAAAGCCTCTAGTCCCACTACCATGCAACGCCCCTCATTTCCCTCCCTCCCACCAACCACCCTCCTCCCTTAACCTCTCCCATTCCTCCCCCTTCTCCTCCTTCCCCCCATTTTCCCCCATTTTACCCCCATTTTCCCCCATTTTACCCCCATTTTCCCCCATTTTACCCCTATTTTTCCCTAACTTCCCCCATTTTCCCCCCTTTTTTCCCCATCCCCCCCACGGTGGCCAGGGCACGCACGGATTCAAGGAAGCTCATCTCCCGCTGCTGCAACTCGCTGCGCACGCGCCGGTGGTACCCCGGGTCCCAGTACCTGGTGCAACGGGGGGGGGGGAGAGAAGGGGACGGGGACAGGGGACGGGGGACGGGGGAAGGGGGAAGGGGGCGGGGAGCGTGGGAGGAAAGGAAAAGATTGGGGAAAAAGGTCAAGGGGACGCAGCAAGGACTGGAGCGGGGTGCAGCTTATAAGTAAAGGTCCGGTGGAGTGGAATGGAGGGTGACACGCCGCCATGGGTCTGCAAAACAAACTCTGTAGACAGGGAGGAAACAGGGTTTGCTGGGTGGGCCGACGCACTGAAATGGCCAGATCTGAACAGATCCGATTTGATCTGATCTGATCTAATCTGATCTAATCTGATCTGATCTGATCTGATCTGACCTGATCTGATCTGATCTGATCTGATCTGATCTGATCTGCCTCCCAGCAGCTTGCATTGCAATGCCATGGCATGCCTTATGAGCAGCCCCTAACGCGTTCCCGTGTCGGCTGCGCGAGTCATGAGAACTCTCAACAGCCAACTGTGCCAGGCTTGCCCACCAACGACCTTGGTGACACACGCATGCAGGCCCACGTATCTGAAGCAGTACCAAGCACACAGCAGCAGTCTATGTGGCACGGCACACGTATGGCATGTCCGCACACACACATAGACACCATGTCGGCATGGCACGCGTAGATGGCACACACATACACGCATACACAAACACACGCATACACAAATGCACGCATGTCAGCAGCACACACGAGACCCACCAGAGCAGATCCGCAATGTTGAAGAAGAAAGTTGGGCCGCGGTAACGGTGGTAGTGGCCTCTCCCCCTCCCCCTCCTCTCCTCGCTGTCCCTGTGATCACGGTGGGCGGAGAGGACGGGGATGGGGGGAGAGAGAAGAAGAAAGATAGGGAAGAAAGAAAAGCATGAGGGGGAAAACATGCGACACAAGTAGGGAATGGAGGAACGGGAGGTGATGAGGAGAAAGAGGCCACAGCACAGCTCCATAAGAACAGGGCACGCACAAACATGCAGCAAGTGACATGTACCGTTGTGGCCCGAAGCACTGGGCATGTGGCATGTGGCATGTGGCATATGGCATGTGGCATATGGCATGTGGCATATGACATGTGGCATGTGGCACGTGGCATGTGGCATGTGGCATGTGGCATATGGCATGCGGCATGTGGCAGGCGGTATGTGGCATACCCCTGTGCAGAGGTCATGAGGACAAAGATGGATGTATAGACAACCAGCACTGATGCCACCAGGGCCGTTCCGAACGACACTCGCATCACATACCCTGCTGCCGCCTGCTCTCATGCACATACGCATGCACATACGCATGCACACACACATGCACACACGCACGCACACACGCACGCACACGCATGCACGCACGCACTCATGCACACATACACGCACGCACGGGCCCACGCAGAGATGGGTTGGAAGGATGGACGGACACCAGTGATGGACAGAGGTGCATGGGTGGGAGCAAGAGCGGACACACAAGTCGCCAAAAGAAGGAAGGAAAGATGGATGGATGGATGGATGGACGGACGGACGGACGGACAGATGGATGGATGGATGGATAAATGGGTGGATGGATGGATGGATGGATGGATGGATGGATGGATGGATGGATGGATGGATGGATGGATGGATGGATGGATGGATGGATGGATGGATGGATGGATGGATGGATGGATGGATGGATGGATGGATGGATGGATGGGTGGGTGGGTGGGTGGGTGGGTGGGTGGGTGGGTGGATGGATGGATGGATGGATGGATGGATGGATGGATGGATGGATGGATGGATGGATGGATGGATGGATGGATGGATGGATGGATGGATGGATGGATGGATGGATGGATGGATGGATGGATGGATGGATGGATGGATGGATGGATGGATGGATGGATGGATGGATGGATGGATGGATGGATGGATGGATGGATGGATGGATGGATGGATGGATAGATGAGACGCGAGAACTGCTCTCAAATGGCTGAACACTCTCTCGCATCGGTCGCATCCGATCATTCTCGCAGCCGATGCGAGAGTGTTCATGCTGTCACTCATCCCGCTCCTCCCCTCATTCTCCCCATGGACTCCAGACGACCCGTGCAAGTCGCTGATGCTTTTCAGAACTCTTGAGAGTTCCCAAGAGCGATACAAGCATAACATGACACACGCCGTTACCACAGCTATATACCAAGCAAGGTTGGACCGTTTGCTCGCTGCTATGCATCCACACGCCGACCCAACCAAGCATCAACACATTCACCCCCACCCCCCGCCTCACCCACCCCACGCCTCACCCACCCCAAGCATCACCCACCCCAAGCATCACCCACCCCAAGCATCACCCACCCCGTGCCTCACCTTGGCCTGCGCCGCCATGGGAGCGAGGCGCATGCGCAGGGAGCGCTGTGCGATGAGCGCGCGCAGGTTGCGCGGCAGCACGTACAGCACGTCGCCCTCGTCCGATACCTAGGCGCGCGGGGGGAAGGGGGGGTGGGAGGGATTGGCGGAAGAAGTGGGGGCGGGGCCGGGGGTGTGGGGGAGAGGGAGGAAAGGAGCGTTTCGGTGAGAGAGAGGGGGAATGGAGAAACCAAATGTCGGTAAGACTTACGAGCTTTATGTGCCTCGTGTTTCCGTCCCTTAAATCCGCCCTTAAAGGCCCCGCCACCCCTTAAAGCCCGCGCCCACCCATCCTCCCCACCCCCTTCTTCACTCACCTCTAGAAACCCTTCCCCATCCGCCGCAAAAGCCTTGAGCGTCTTTTCCGCATCGCCTACTTTCAATCCGCTGCGCGCCGCCACGTCACCCACAGTCACCCGCCCGTACCTATCCCTTCCGCTTCCGCCGCCTTGATTTCCCCCTGCCGCCCGTCCAGGTTCCGCCACGAGCGCCTCTACCGCGGAGAGCGCCCTGTCGCGCAAGTCCGCGGGGAGAGAGTCCGACTCCGCGGACGATGGGCGCGCGCCGCTTAGCGACTGCAGGGGGTCGCGGAGACCGCCAAACGCCCCGCCTCCGCTGGTTCCGCTGCCGCGGCTCTCTTCACTCCACCCCCCCGCTTGCCATGCATCGTCTTGCATCCCCCCTCTTGCGCGGAATTTTACCCGGGAAGGTGAGCTCCCTCTGCCTCCGGTTGCGCCTGCCCCCGGCTGGCGGAATCTTCCGCGCGCCCGCTTGTCCAACCTGCGGCGGTGGTTCTCTATGGCGGAAATTACCAGCTCCATCCCCCTCCCCCCTCCCCCTTCCCCTTCCCCTCGCTCCCGTGGTTTCAAGCCGGCGAAAGTCCGCCAGGAGACGCGGTTCGGGTGCGCAGATCTGGGCTTAGATTCGAAGGGTGGGGACGATCGACGGACGCATGTAACGAGCGGCGAGCGCGGGGAGGAGAGGAGGTGAGGGGATCCGGCCTTATTCGAGAGACAAGAGACGAACAAAGCCTTAACGCTCCGCGAATCACGGCGAGGGGTGGCGATGGCACTACTAGAGTCGTGTCGCACGGCGCCAACGGTAAAGCTACTTGACGCCATGGCTTCAGGTCCGATCGTACGGCGCTGCTTATAACGGGTCACGAAAAATCTTACGAATCTATTATCCACGTGCGATACGGGAGTACCAGTTGAGGCGTCTCAATCAGAACAGACGCGGACTGACCGCGACCGTGCAGGCCCAGAGGAAATTCTCAGCCAGCTCTGAGGAGAAATTTCCTAGGCGAACGAGATTCGTTTGACAAGCAACAGGATGAAGGGGCAATGGATGGCGAGGCGAGGACAGTCAGAAGGGATTGACTGGGCGCACTGAATTGATCAAGCTCGCTCGCCCAGCACGTGCACTGATCTTTTCCGCTGAAGACTGGCGTTTGACGCGACGCGCCACGAGGTGCTGCTGGTAACCGTTCGCCTAAAGGTGGTGCGGTTCCCAAAAGCGCCGTTCGTGCAAGCAACATCGAACTGGCAACATATCTGGCAGCCATAACTAAGTAGTTTTCGATACTTCATCAAACTGGCTCGTACAGACCTAGACTTCAATAACACCCTATACAAAAGGTAATGCTTACAAATACTTTGCCTCCAACTATGTGCACATGCATCTAGCCATCTTAGCTTCACACATATAATTACAGGCAGTTGTTAGCAAACAGCCCTGCAAAAAAAGACAAACCAGAATGTCTATGGCTCCAACAGCAAACGCAACTGCAGTCAAATGACCGCACCCCCCCTCCTCACACATCTTCAGTTGCTTACAACTCAACACTTAACGTGTGAGCTGAGCAGTGTATGCCTCTAGGTATGATGGGGGAGTGTCAGTCCATACATAGCCGCCCCATTGTGGAGCAGTACGGAGCGGTATGGTAGGTTTCTATTGTGAAAGCAGGAGGGTAAGAACTACGCCAATGGCTAAGCAGCAGGAAGAGCCAAGGGAGGGGTGGTTGGGAGAAGTTCAGGCGAGCTAGGGAATGGGCTGCTGTCGAAGCTTTTGCACTGGGCATGCATGCTCGCGCATTCCGTTCGTGGGAGTGGCAAGGGTAGGCAGGAGGAGGTAAGGCAAAGGGACGGGGTGGGGCGAACGGGACACAAGTCAGGGAGGGATTGAGGTTGAGGGGTAGAGTACTGAGATAGCGACGGCAGAAGTAAGGGTGGAAGGACGAAAGGGGTGGCTGGAATCGGGGGAGGGTTGAAGCGGAGGAAGGAGCAGAGCAGGTGCAGTTGGGAATGTGGCGAGGTGTGCGTTGGAATGAGAGGAGAGAAGAGAAGAGCGAGGGAGGAAGAGGGAGCTCTCAGATGGGAACGCAGAGGGGCATGCCACGGAAGAGGTTGTTGGGGCGGCAGATCCATCCGCGGTTGAGCGTGGGTACGAGTGTGGCGTTGCGCTTGAAATTGTTGAGGATGAGCGACCCGCACGTGTCACCCAGCTGCACCGTGTACTTGGTGTTGCGGATCGTGCGCGACCGCACTGAGCCGCATGCCACCGCGCCCAGGGGCACACCCGCCACACAGATCTGCGAAAAGGGAGCGGCGGTGAAGAGAGGAGGCAGGAAAAACAGGGACGGGGGAGAGGGAGGGAGTGAGGGAGGAAGGAGGGGGAGGGAACAGGGAAGGAGTAGGGAAGGGGGAGAGAGAAAATGAGAATGAGAAAAAGAATGGGAGATCTAGTCAACTTGTGTTACAGGCACAGGCACAAAGGCATTGGAAAAACGCCAGAGGGATTGCCAATACAGGGATGTTGAGAAGCTTGGAAAAAAGGATGCACAGGGGCAGGGGCAGGGGTGGGGATGGGGAAGGCTTGCTGGAGGAGGTGCGTGCGGGGGGCAGTGCTTGGTGTAATACGGAGGGGAAGGGTTGGGGAATGGAGAAGGCAAAGGGGGACGGGGGGGAGTGCGTACGATGGTGTGACAAGTGCAAGATGAACCGAGAGTAAGTGTATGTTGTGTGAATGAAGGGGCCAGGTCGGAGGGGAAGCGTAGGTAAGCTGCAACAAGAAAAAAAGAGACACCAAATCGTACGCATGGAAGCACAACACACACCCAACAACTACCACCCTTCATTCCTCCCTTCCAGCACAAATAACACCCCACCGCCACCCCTCCTCTCCCCCCAACACCAACACCCCGACCCAGCACATTCCCCCCCACACACACACACCCCGACACACACCTCTTGCTGCATGAGCGGGTTGAGGTTGTCACAGAGCAGGCCGGGGTTGAGGCGGTAGAGCGTGAGCCAGGAGATGGAGGCAGCGGCTATGATGCTGGCACACGTTTCCCCCGCTGCAATGCCGTGGTACTCTGTGCACAGCTGGTAGTTGCTCACACCATCCACGTTCATTGCTCGCTCCAGACACACCTGAAAGGAAAGTGGTGCGGGGGAGAAGGGCGGGGGAGAGAGTGGGGGGGAGAGTGGGGGGGGAGAGAGTGGGGGAAGAGAGGGGAGGGAGAGAGGGAAGGGATGCATCGGGCAAGGAAGGAGTGAGGAGGGGAAGGCGTGGGGAGGCGGAGTGAGGCTTTACGTGCATAGACTGGCAGAGGGACACTGACACACAGGCACACCATGCACAAGGCACGCAGGGCCACGGGCGCACCTGCTGTCCAGGAATGAGTTGAGCGCAGTTGAGGCCTGGGTTGAGGTCGGTGAGGTTCACTCCGAACTTGGCCTCCAGAGCCGTGCAGTCCGTTGCTAGGCTGTCCGCCTGCCGTGGTGCACATGGGGGGTGGCGGGGTGGGAAAGCAGGGAGGAAGGGGGGAACGGGAAGCGGGTGAAGGGAAAAGGAGAGGGAGGGCAGGAAAGAGCACAGAGAAGAGTGGAGGCGGGAAAAGAGGGGGAAAGAGGGGAGAGGGAAAGTGGGGGGAGAGAGTGGAGCGGTGAGGGATTGGCGGAAGAGACACAAGGGATGGCATACGTGCAGCGTATATGTGAAAGGGGGACAGGACAGAGAGAAGGAAGAGGTGGAGGGACGAAGCTTGACAGAATCAAGGTGAGGAGGAGGAGGAGGAGGAGGAGGAGGAGGAGGAGGAGGAGGAGGAGGAGGAGGAGGAGGACGACGACGACGACGACGACGAGGAGGACGAGGAAAGTACCGCGGAGATGGGGTAATGTGTGACGCAGACGAGCGCGGGGTTAGGAGCAGAGACGTTGAGAAGAATGCCTGGCTGCAGGTTGGTACAATCCACTCCCTGTGGGGGGTCACCAGTACATGAACGAGAGGGCGCAGACGGGCGATGGGGCGGGCGGGTAGAAGTGGAAGAGAAGGGAGAGGTGAGTGGACGGGCATGACAAGCGCATCAGAAAGAGGCAGAGAGGGCATCACATGTGGACAAGGTAGTGCGGAGAGAGGGGAAGGGAGAGACGAAGGGTGGAGGTGAGGAATGTGGTGCAGCAACGAGAAAAGGCCACATAAGCACCAAAGCGCAGAAGACACACAACCAAAGAAATCCTCCCCTCCCCTTCCCCATCCCCACCCCCAATCCCCATCCCCACCCCCACCCATCACTGCCCATCACCCACCGCCCTCTCATCATCACCCACACGTCCCCTACCCACCCACCCTTCCGTCCATCCATCCATCCATCCTTCCACCCGCCCCAATTACTCATCCATCCACCCACGCGCACCCTTCCTCTCTCACACTCTCCCATCCCACGCTCGCGCCCCTCCCCTGCCCTCCCTGCCTCCCTCCCTGCCTGGCAGCGCACCTCATTCTGGTCGAGGAAGTCTGAGTGCGTGAGGCCGAACATGGAGTAGATGGCGTAGCACGAGTCGCCCGCCTGCGTCACGTACGTCGTCGCGGGGGGCGTCGTCCCTGCCAGGCCACGCCATGCCAGCCACACACCGCCACCCACACCAGAAGCAACGGACGCAGGGGCAGGAAGGAAGGGGAGGGGGACGGGAGGGGGCAGCGGGAGGGAGAGGGAGAGGGGGAGGGAGAGGGGGTGGAGAGGGTGAGAGGACGGGGGATGGAAAGAGGGCGAGCAGGGTTTGAGGACTGCAAGCTCAGCAGCAGGGCCAGCGTGTTGAGGAGAGAAGAGAAGAGTAGCGAGGAGAAGAGTAGCGTGAGCACGGGAGAGAAGAGAAGGGGAGAGAGGAGCAGAGGAAGAGGAGTAGCGGCGGACTTACTGGGGATGCAGGTGGTGGCACCAGAGCTGTACTGGCTGAGGACAAAGTCAGTGGGGCACACACAGGTGTACGTGCCGTCGCCCACGTTCATGCACGTGCCCTTGCCACATGGGTTCATCTTGAACACGCCACAAACGTCCTCTGATGCGCGCGTGCCAGGGGGAGGGGAGGGGAGAAGGAGGACGGGGAGGAAAAGGGAGGGGAGAAGGCGCAATGGGGAAAGGGAGGGATGGGAGTGGGGGAGCAGGGAGGATAGAGAGGTGAGAAGGAGACAGAGAGAATGGATAGAAAGACACGCACGCACGCACGCACGCACATACAGAGCCCAGCACCAGAATCCATCCCCCACATCAACCCCAGTACCACGCACCGAGCACGCAAGCCTGGCTGCCGTCCTTGTTGTTCACCACAGTGAGCCCGTTCGCGCACACGCACTGGTACCCGCCATACGTCGGCAGCGGGGGCGGCGGCTTGCACGGATCAATCTGCTCGAAGTACGGCGCCACACCCGTCCCCGAGCCACGCGGAGGCGGCGGTGACTTGGCCCTGGGCGGGGGCCTCCTGACAGAGCCTGTTGATCCCCCGCCCCCACCCGCACTGGTTCCCCCAACCAGGGAAGACGACCCTCCCCCTCCGCTGCTGCTGCTGCTGCTGCCACCGCCATTGTTCCCCGCGTTGCCGGAACTGCCGCTGTTTCCGGTTTTCCCGTTGCTTGCCGTGTTGCCTGAGTTTCCCGAGTTGCCTTGGTTGTTTGTGTTACCCTGGGACCCTGTATTCCCCTGACTGTTTGTATTCCCTTCAGTGTTTGTGTTGCCCTGGGACCCTGTATTCCCCTGACCGTTTGTAATCCCTTGAGTGTTTGTGTTGCCCTGAGCACCTGTGTTCCCCTGACTGTTCGTATTCCCTTCAGTGTTTGTGTTGCCCTGAGACCCTGTATTCCCCTGACTGTTTGTGTTGCCTTGGGTGTTTGTGTTTCCATTGCTGTCAGAGCCACCCGCACTCCCCGGTATACTCCCAGCACCCTTCGGTCCCACAAAGCCCCCAGTGCTGCCAGTGCTGCCAGTGGTACCAGTGCTACCAGTGCTGCCACTGCTAGTGCTGCTTGCACCAGCCGTGCTCTCACTGACACCAAAGCCGGTGGTGCCACTGTTCCCCGTGTTCCAAGAAAGAAACATTTCACCCACTGTGTTGCCCGTGCTGCCCGTGTTATCGGAGTTGCCCGTGACGCCAGCACCAGTCGCCTTGTCCGCATTCCCAGAATTCCCAGTGCTGCCAGTGCTAACAGTGCTGCCAGTGCTAACCGTGCTGCCACCGGTGTCAGTGTTACCCTTGCTATCCGAGCTCTTTCCGCTTCCTATGCTGCTCGTGCTGCCACTGCTGTAAGTGACGCTGCCACCGGAAACAGTATTGCCACCGGAAACAGTACTGCCACTGGAAACAGTACTGCCACTGGAAACAGTACTGCCGCCAGTATCCGTGTTGCCCTTGTTATCCGAGCTCTTTCCGCTTCCTGTGCTGCTCGTGCTGCCAGTGGCGCCAGTGCTGCCGGTGCTGACAGTGCTACCAATGCCGCCGCTGGTGTCCGTATTACCCTTATTATCAGAGCCCTTTCCGCTTCCTGTGCTGCTCGTGCTGCCACCACTGTCAGTGACGCTGCTAGTACTGTCAGTAACGCTGCCGCTAGAAACAGTGCTGCCGGTGCTGACAGTGCTCCCAGTACCGCCGCCAGTGTCAGTGTTACCCTTGCTATCCGAGCCCTTTCCGCTTCCTGTGCTGCTCGTGCTGCCACCACTGTCAGTGACGCTGCTAGTACTGTCAGTAACGCTGCCGCTAGAAACAGTGCTGCCGGTGCTGACAGTGCTCCCAGTACCGCCGCCAGTGTCAGTGTTACCCTTGCTATCCGAGCCCTTTCCGCTTCCTGTGCTGCTCGTGCTGCCACTGCTGTCGGTGGCGCTGCCACCAGAAACAGTGCTGCCGGTGCTGCCCAAATTATCCGTATTACCAACCTTTCCCCCGCCTGTGAGACTGACTTCTCCTGTCGACCCTGTGCCACTGCTGCTGCCACTGCTGCCGGTACTCTCACTGTTTCCAGTGCTGCCAATACTGCTCGAATCACCACCGCTGCTGGTACCCGCACTGCTACTGCTGCCACTGCTAACGGTGCTGCCAGCGCTTTCTGTAACCCCTGTGTTGCCAGCACTACCACTGCTGCTACCGCTAACCGTGTTGCCACCGCTAACCGTGTTGCCACCGCTTGCCGTGTTGCCACCACTGACACTGCCACCATCGCTCACCAAAGTCGCAGTGCTGCCTAATCCGCCGGTGCTCTGAGTGTTTCCAGCACTGCCACTGCTGCCACTGCTGCCACTGCTGCCGGTGCTCCCTGCACTGTCAGTCCCACCCACGCTGCCGCTTGTGCTTGCCGTGCTGCTGCTGTCCACCGTGCCCGTGCTCCCATCACTGCGTGTTTTACCAATGGCGCCACTGGTTCCTTTGCTCACCGTGCTCCCTGTGCTCACTGTGCCTCCTGTGCTGCCTGTGCTTCCACCTGTGCTGCTGCTCCCTGTGCTATCCGTACTTACCGCACCAGTGCTGCTGCCGCTGCTGGTGCTAGTGCTGCCGCTGGTGCTAGTGGCAGTAGTGCTAGTGCCGCCGATGGTGCTAGTGCCGCCGATGGTGCTAGTGCCGCCGATGGTGCTAGTGCCGCCGATGGTGCTAGTGCCGCCAATGGTGCTAGAGCTGCTGGTGCCAGTGGTGCTAGTGCCGCCGATGGTGCCAGTGGTGCTAGTGCCGCTGCTGGTGCTGCTGCTGGTGCCAGCGGTGCTAGTGCTGCCACTGGTGTCAGTACTGCTGCCAGTCGTGCCAGTGCTTCCCGTGCTGCCAGTCGTGCCCGTCACCACTGTGCTCCCAGCCACCGGGCCCGAAACCGTGCTCGTGCTTCCTGTAGCGCTCCCCGTCGTGGTCACACCAGTGCTCCCGCCATTCCCAATCGCCACAACCGGTCCCAACCCATTAGACTTGGAACCCAGAAGGCCCGCCCCTACAGTCGTCGCCGGCCCTCTCCCATTATTCGACCCAGAGACACCGTTGCTGTTCCCTACCCCTTGCGCTCCTGCTGCTGCTACTGCTCCTGCGCCTACCGCTTTTTCTCCACCTACAGCCGCGGTCGAGATTCTCCCCGCGCCTCCCCCCGGCCTGGCCCCGCTGCCCGCCTTGCTCATCCACTGGCGCAGCCGCGCGCGCGCGAACTCCACGTTGTTCCGCGCAGTCACCTGCCGCGCGGAGCGGGGCCGCGACGCCGCCGAGTATGAGGAATAGGGAGCAACGGAGGCGAGGCCCTGGTAATCGTTCTCGTCCAGTCCCTCGTCTGCTGTCGTACTGGCTACAGAGAACATAGTTGCAGCAGCAGTAGCAGCCGTGCCAGCAGTGCCGGTGCTTCCAGTAGTGCCGGTGCTGCCTGTGCTTCCCGTGCTTCCCGTGCTGCCCGTGGTGCTGTTCTTGTCTGCCAGCATCTCGCACGTGCCCCCGCCGCAGCTAGCGATGCACGAGCTTGCACGGGTCGTTGCTGTAGGGCGCATTGGGGCAGGCGGTAGGGAAGGCACGGGAAGAAAGCGGGAGAAGAATGGAGATCGGGAAGGGGAAGTGGGATGCAAAAGGCTCGAGAGCGCGCGCGTGAAGGACACGGGAAACAGAAAGTATCTCACAATTCTGCCAGCCACCATTCTCCCACAACACCCTCCCTTCACCGTCCCTTCACCCTCCCTTCCCTGCCCTCCGCGCCCCCCTTGCCCCCACCCCTCCGCAAGCACTCACGGTCAATGACAGGGTACAGGCCGAGCTGGTACGTCATGCCGCACGTGCCGCCGTATTTGAAGCTCATGGCGATGCGCATGTACCCGCCCTCGCCCCACGACACGCCCCAGCTGTTGCGGATGAGGAAGTAGTTATCTGGTGCGGAGGGGCCGCTGTAGTGGTAGCCTACGACGAGCACCACGTGGTCTAGCTCGGGGTTGTCCGGGTCGAAGCACTCGTCGTCGCTGTATATCCCGCCCTGCCGGGGGGATACGGGAAGAGAGGGGAAGACAAGCGGGTGGAGACAGGAGCGGGGAGGTGGTTCGGAAACGTCAGTGGAGATGTGTGTGTGTGTGTGTGTGTGTGTGTGTGAGAGAGAGAGAGAGAGAGAGAGAGAGAGAGAGAGAGAGAGAGAGAGAGAGAGAGAGAGAGAGAGAGAGAGAGAGAGAGAGAGAGAGAGAGAAGACGAAGCACGAAGCACACAAAGCACGAACCTTACAAAGGTTCAGACCAGACCTACCCCGGAATTCCCGCGTGCGCACCTCATAGTCGACGAAGGTGGGGCGCGAGGCCCGGATGGTGACTTTTGAGTCGACTCAAAAGTCAATTCCCACACGCGCACCTCATAGTCGACGAAGGTGGGGTGCGAGGCGCGGATGGTGACAATAACGGGCTGCGTCTGCACCACGAGCATGAGCCCCAGCGCGCCCGGCAGCGGCACCTGCTCGTACAGCGTGATGCGCACCGTCTCGCCGCGCTGCATGCAGGGGGGAGGGGGGGGGACGGGGGAAAGGAGGGCGCGGAAGGTGAGCGCGGCGGGGGAAACGGGGGAAAGGTGAGTGGGGAAGAGGAGGGGGGGGTCGAAGGGGCGGGGTCGAGAGTGGAATCGGGAAACAGGGACGCAGGGAGGAGTTTTCGCGGAGAGGGGAAACGGGGAAGCAGTCGGCGCAGGTGCAGCAGCAGGGAAACGCCCACCCGCGCAGATCACCCAGGACAACCCCACGCCGCAAGAACCGCCGACTCCCAGAGGCCCGGAGCCCAAGAGGTTCATAGCATCCCCCGCATCCCCCATCCCCCACATAAGCGCGTCGGGATCAGACGACGCAGCTCCAGAGCCCAGCCCCGCCCGACCGCATGCCCACCCGCCCCGGGGGTGCCGCGCACAAACAGGGACTCACGCACCACGATGGAGCTAGCAAGGCACGTGCCCTCCATGGCGCTGTACGAGTACTCCGCGTTCGTCCCCAGGCGGCTCTGCGCGATGTACTGCAGCGCGTCCTCGGGATACCCGCCCCAGCAGCTGCCCGCCGTGCAGTCCAGCAGCTGCTGCACGGACAGCGTCGTGCGCGCCGGCAGCGCGTTCGTGAACGCGTAGTACGCGCCCTCCACGGCGCCCGCCACGGCGAACGCCCAGCACGTGCTGCAGAGGCCCTGGTCCGGCGGGTCCGCGTACTGCGACGCGACGCCGAAGGAGCCCACGACGTCCCACACGGGCGCGCCCGTGGTGGGGTCGAAGTTTAGGTTGGTCGTGAGGTAGCGCGACACGGGGTTGAACTGCGCGCGCGAGTTGAGCGTCATGCGCCGGAGCGAGTTCAGACCCAGAGTCTTGTTGCCTGCACGGGGAGGAGGGGGGAGGGAAGGGGGAGGGGGAGGGGGAGGGGTTGGAACGGTCAGAATTCAGCGTGCGCATGAACGGAGGCCATCGGCGCGTGATGGCGGCAGGCGCGCGCGCGGATGAGCGCGCGGGAGGAGTA